CCAGCAAAACCGTTCTGCTATAAGCTTGATGGTTGCACGAACACCTGGATGAGAAAGTTTGTGCAACGTATTGAAGACGTTGCATCGGTAATGATTCGGCACGATTGGGCGATCCCTACCTGTAGATGTGTCACAAAGTAAGGTTTCCTTACCTGTTCCCATCTGTTTAATGCGCAGTTTAAGTGTTGTTGAGGCCAACTCGTGCTGAAGATCACTGTCTTCTTTTTGAAGTTGGGCGAGTTGTAAAAGGTCGATTCCTTGGGAAGTGTTCAAGGAATTTATACGAGACAAGGCGTCTGCGACTACATTGTTTGCTCCAGAAATGTGTCGAATATCTGAAGTAAACTGCGAAATGTAGTCCAGTTGTCGAGACTCACGTGGTGAGTACTTGTCTGAAGAAGAGCTTAAGGAGAAAGTAAGTGGTTCATGGTCAGTGAAAAGGGTAAATTCTCAGCCCTTGATATAGTGCTGAAAATGCCGGACAGAACAATACATAGCTAGGAGTTCCCTACCGAATGTGCTGTACCTCGATTCAGTGTCTAGCAACCGTCTAGAGAAAAATGCCAAAGGTTGCCAGGAGTGGTTAACCCATTGTTGTAAAACTGCTCCGATTGCTGAGTCGGATGCGTCTACTGCGAGACTAATGGGCGCTTCAGGGTCCTGAAGAGCAAGCATGGTTGCTTGAGTAGTACGCTCCTTAACCGTGGAGAATGCTTTTCGCGCGGTGTCATCCAGATTGATGGATTTTGCATTTCCACGAAGTTGGTCGGTAAGAGGTTTCATAATTAAGGCGCATTTGGGTATGAATCCTCTATAAAAAAACTTACCAGACCGTTAAACGTGCGCAATTGCTTGATGGTGGTCGGTTCTGGGTAATCCAGAATGGCCGCCACTTTCGTTCTAAGGGGTCGGATATCTTGCGCATCGATAGTGTGTCCTAAGAAGTCTAAAGAGTCGGTTCCGTTTTGGCATTTCTGAATGTTTACAATAATGTCATGTTTTTGTAGTCGGTTGAAAACAAGATCCAGATGCTGGAGATACGATTCTCTGTCCGGACTTGCTATTAGTCCGTCATCAACATACGCATGTACGAAGTTGAGACCTCGGAAAACGTCATCTATGAACCTTTGGATATTCTGTGTTGCGTTTCTCAGACCGAAAGGCATTCGCAAAAATTCATAGAGTCCGAAGGGCGTTATAATAGCGGTTTTTGGAATGTTGTCAGTGGCCGTAGGAATTGGGTTATACGCTTTAGCCAAGTCGATTTTCGAAAAGGCAGTTGTACCTTGCAAGGTAGCTGTCAAATCGTGAATGTGTGGCAACGGATAGCGATCGGGAATGGTTTTTGTATTCAGTCACCAATAATCACCAGTTGGACGCCAATCGTTGCTGTCCTTTTTAGGGACCATGTGCAACGGAGACGCCCATGGGCTATTTGACGGTCGTATAATTCCTAAGTCTATCATACGATCAAATTCGTTTTTCACTAACCTTAACTTCTCGGGGACCAGTCGGCGTGCTTTAGAGAATACAGGTGGTCCTGTAGTCGCGATGTGATGTGTAACGTTGCCGGTTACACACGGCAATTTAGGTTGCGGTTGGTAAATGCCAGAATACTTATAGAGTAGTGGTTTATAGAAGGGGTTTATCGTATGCTTAATAGTGACTGGAGATAACCTGCAACCAGAAAAGAAGTCAGGCAAACAGATAAATTGGTATTTCCATCTACTATCCTCCGATAATTAGGTTGTGGTGCTGTAGAAGCTTCATACCAATGATTGGCTTAGAAACATCCTCAACAACAAAGATCCAGTGAATGAGTTTGCGTGACCCGACGATGAGATAAACATACCTTTTTCCATACGTAGCGATAGCTTTTTCGTTTGCCGCCTGTAGATTTAAAACCGATTCATAAAGCCGGTCGTTGGAATTCTCTGAGAGAAAGCTAACTTCTGCGCCAGTATCGACGAGGTAGTGAACTCTCGTTATCACATCACTGACATATAATAAACAGCTATGTTCGCCGGCTACGGTTGCCGTTAAAGAGTGCCGGCTTGGAAGTTTCCCGAAACATTTTTCGTGTTGACCGATTTTGAGTTGGGAAAATTGCAGGGTTTTCTGCAATTTCTGGAGGACTTTCCATACTGGTTATGATACCAGCATCAGTCAGGATTATCCGCCTCTCTAGGTCTATAGACAGATCGCCTACGTGATGTGCTTCTTCAAGGAGTGTGTGACCGTTTACGGTTGTTACGAAGTTTGAGATATCGCGTAAGTGTATGACATAACTCTGTTATGTCATTCTGGGTCGTTTGAGGCTTTCCTTTGACTGAAAATACCTCGACGTTAGAAGATTTAGTGATGCAGATGCAGCCAGCTCGTCTACGGTGTTGTTTTAAAATGAGACCAGAACAGCTTGCACCTGTTGAGTAAGTTTTGACAAGAAAAGCTGTTTGAATAAGCCATCATCGAAGGTTCTTTGACCAATAACTTCACTCATTCTTTGCAACATGTCTGTGGCAGAGTCGTGTTGCAGATCGATGTTATTAAGGAGTTGGTCTAACCTTTGTCGATCGGTTAGATCTCCACGTTTAAGGATGGCATGTGTTGAGGGTTTTGTATGGGTCAGAAACATCACCAGTAAACATACTAGGTGTTACGTACCTGTTAAATTCGCGCGGTAGTGCCTTGACTACTGCGAGGAATTGTGCACGTGTGTCGTTCAGGCCGTGCTCGTAGAAGTCGGCTTCTGCGTAGCAAAACCAGGCTTCGATGTTGTCTGGCCAGAAGGGCATAAGTTGGAAGGAAGGTGGGGACACAGTCTTTAACTTAAATACCTTAGGTGTCTGTTCAGTCGTATTAATATATCAAGTACGAAAATGAACGAATGGGAAATATATATATATATATATATTCAAAAACACGTGAAAAATATCACAATGTATAAAAAAGATTAAAATAAGACAATGATATGTAAAATCACGAAAAGAAACAGACTCACAGTTTGCAATTTGGTGTACCAGATCACGTTGGGCTCACCAATGAAAATGCCACAGGTATTCGGAGTTTGACAACGCTTTAACCAGTAACACCCAATATAAAGCGTACCCACCAAGTCAAATCAAAAGACAGAAGTGAGGAGATCAAAGATATATTTGATAAGCTATCAATATATCGAGGATCGTTTGAACTAATCTGGCTGGCGATTGCGGTAGATGTTGAGCACAGCGTTCCCTTACGTGATCTGGTGTGGATGCTTGACCGAGCGCCCTCAGCAAGATGAGTCCACTAAAACTGTGGTCAGCATCCAATGTCGAAAACTCACAGAGCTATTTGTTTTGGGGATTTATTTACCGCTACAAAAGGATCGTATCACAAAAATGGATTCGAGAATGAATAAATGTGTTAAGGTCAAACTTACGCTTTGGGCCAGATCATTGTGTATGTGTAAAGTTACTTGCTCATGTGGGACACGTTATATGGGCCGCACAAAGTGATAATTGTCCAAACACATCTCGGAACATTATCCGGCCTGGCTTTTAAAAGGAGAACGTAAAACAATTACTAATTCGATACAGTGGCACTTAATTAACTGTGGACATATCGCTCCAAAGGAATCTTCGTTTAAAGTAATCTACAGAGCCAGAGAAACTGGTTCGAAGGGGGTTCGAATCAATATTTTATGCACTGTTGAGGCATTGGCAATCCAAATACTCAAGCCTGGACTTTGTGTGCAGAAACGATTTATCCAACCTCTCATCCTTCCTAATTATTATCGATTTTTTAAATTACTGTTACGTATTTTAAACTCTAATCATTTATTAATATTACCTTATGCAAGTTTTCTTGACTATTATTCAGTTTATTATGACCTTTGTTGTTTGTCGCTTTTCTTAATATCTGTCAATCGAACTATTATCTGATCCATAAATTATATTCTTCCTTACCCCTTGATTTGTACGTTAACCTCATTTGTTATTTATTTCCGAATCATTTTTTGTGATACAATCCTTTCTATCCTTCTATAGACATACATTTTCCATATAAATATATGTACTAATGTACAGCTTAAGTAGATGATTTTATCGAAAAGAGAATTTTCTTCGTTGAATTCTCTTTTTCTTATTCAATGACACTATGGGTTATTTTGATCACGTAATGATAGAAGAGTTACACAGGTTATCAAGCCCTAGAATCATACATAGTCATTTTCATTCATCTTATATTCCTACCCGGATACCATAGACCTGTTTACAAGACCATTCAACCTGTGACCTTCTGAAACGGCTACAAGGCAGCGATTAAGATAAGTTTTACATTAAAAACAGGCAAAAAAGGTTTGTGCTGTTAGCGCAACTTTGGTGCTTTTCACACATCAAAAACTTCGTAAACATACGAACACATATAGATCATGCCTGTCTACACGCGCGCAACCGACCTCAAGCCCTTCAAATATGGAATATCTGCTATGCGTCAGGTCGTTTCAGGCCGCGGAAATTAAAGCGCAGTTGAGATTGAAAATGGTTTACATTTTCATCGTGACGATCTCCTTTTGATACATTATCCCATGCATCCTTTACAACGACTGATCAGTCTATCTCATATACTTTTTCACACATTGTTAATCTTTTAATTATATCCTTAAACTCTTCCACAATGCGGGCTTCTAGTTTGACTAGGTTTGAGGTCCTTTATTATAAAGGTGTTACGACGGCGCTGCCAAGTGCAGAATACCCGTGATTTCTTTTATCTCTACTTCTCAGAAGAACTGTAAATCTCTTGAAAGACGTCTACAGGCTTGCAGCGAAGTGGATCAAATGACTAAGAAATAAATTGTACCTGATTAGAAAGATGTGAAGTTATAAACCAGGGTATCTACCTGAAGATATTGGTAATCTGTTATTGCTAAACACAGAAGTGCAAGCTTTGAATTAGCTGAATAACTTGACGTGTGTGATATCGAAGAACAACTGGGTGATCATTATTAAAGTGAGCTGTTTTTTGAACTGAGTGACCTAAGTTTGTAAGGCGGCCTGGACAAACTTGCAGTTATTAAAAGGTACTCAGGGTTTGGTGTCTGGTTTACTTTTTTCAGGATTTTTCACATTAAAGTTTTGGAATCACTTATGGTAATAGCCAATAAATTTTCCTGAACTTGCGTCATAGAGTAAGTGGGGTTTGGCTGAAAAATGTACTCAAAAGTGAAACGCTTGCAAATTTCAAGTCTCACAGAATTCACCTTCCTAACCAATGCAAGGTTATCCTTAACTAATATGACGCGTTTCTTTGATTAGGTGGCTGGTAAGTAGTAGGCGACACATAAGCATGATAATTTGAATTTGCTTGCATGTATGTCTACTGGGCTTAAGCTGTCCAAGTCTGTTAGCATCATATGAATTCATTGACCATGACACTGATTTTTATATTGCATGACAGGAATTTTTCGTTACTAACTGTTCACCATTTGCTTTAGTCAACAGTTTTTTTGAAGTGACTTGCACAGGTTTATGTTTAACTTACTAATATTCACCAGACACTTGGTGCTTATCATCCATACTATAAAATTAATTTCCAGGACAATCAATAGGGCTTATTGTAAAACCAATTGACTATAGGATTTACTGAATCAATTTTATGGTTTCTAAGACCCGTGTCTAGTCCCAACGCCTCAATTTCCTTACCGAAACTACCATTTATAAATTAAAAGTTGAGTGCATTGCACGTGTCATTTTTAACCCATTCTCCTTCCTCAACTTTCTAGAATCTGTTTATATCATCAAGCTGTCATTCCAAACGTTTGTCATCTCTGAATAATGGCCACCGTGTCTAAACACAAGAAAGTGAGGATCATGAAACAGAAGTTGAAACTTTTTCGAGCCAATGAACCATTAAAAAGTGTACTGATGTGGGGCATAAATTATTCGTTTTCCGCTTTAAATCATGTTAAGCAACGTGCACTGTTATTGAAAGACGATTTCAAAGCATATATGAAAGTGAAGGTTAATAACCACTATTTCAACAAGTAAGTTTTTCTGTGTTCATGGTGAACTTATGCTGACGAATGTGATTCTAGGGAGAATATGCCTAGTAGATTCAAGTTTAAAGAGTACTGCCCAATGGTGTTCAAATCATTACGAGATCGATTTGGAGTTGACAAGATGGATTATTGGGTAGGTGGTTCTGAGCTGATTTATGTGTTGATGGTAATATCTCCTTTTTACCTGTGAATGGTGTTAGAGATTCATAACTTGAACACACTGAGTTTTGCTTAGTATTTAATTGTTATGAAATTAGATTTTGTTTGTGATGGATGATGGGTGCTTTAACTGGATCCCAAACCAATGGTGCACATGGGCTCCAGTATCCTGAGGGGAGAAATGGCGTATGAGCCGATTTTCGGTCACCGGTTACCATGGGACTGCATCTCCTCACGATGCTCCACTGCCTTATGAGTTAGACCTTTAGGTCAAAGGCTCGGGGTGTGGCACCCTAAGAAAACCACCTGCTTCAGCCCACACACAAATATGATGAAATGTTGATACTTATGGAAAATACTTTTCTTGCTTCGACTAACAATCAAACGATACACATTATCATTATTATTACTATTGTTATTATTATTATTATTATTATTATTATTATTATTATTGTTATTATTATTATTATCTACTACGTCATCTGTTCACCCTATTTTTTCCCACTTTCTGTATCCTTATTTTTCGACTTACACAGCAGCTCGTCTATGGTGGAAATTCGATTCAGTCTAAACGTTCTCGGGTCACTGCCTGGTTGAAAATCGTATGCTACCACCGAATATGAATACTGAAGCAGTTTTTTTGAAACCACGTGCACTACTCAAACTGGCCACCTTTAACGTTCACACACTTATGCAGGTCGGACAACAGATAGGACTGGCTATGTCTTTGGAAAGTCTTGATATCGACGTTTATTGTCTACCCGAGACCAGTATCCAAGACTGGTGAAGTACTACAAATTCGCTCTCCATCTGTCGGTTCAAAAAGCTTGTTTTCGTGCGCTTATCCGGGGACCCTGTGGCATCTCCGTCTGGTTTTGCTGGCGTTGGTTTCGCACTAAGCGCTAGAGCTGAGGCAGCACTAATTGATTAGATCTCCGTTAATGGTCGGTTATGTGCTCTTAGATTAAAAAGTTCCATCAAAGTGAAAAGAAATTGCCGTGAGAAACGATGTCTTTTCGTCATCTCCGCCTATGCCCTGACAGATTACAGCAGGGATGTAATCAAAGATGAATTCTACCACCAGTTAACTGTTCTCCAGAAAGTGCGTTCGACAGATATTGTGGTACTAGCCGGAGACTTGAATGCTCAGGTCGGGCGTCTAGGCACAGAAGAGAGTCGTTTAGGTGGCCGATGGGGACTCGTTGGTCGCAGGACAGATAACGGGTAACGTCTACTGCATGTATGCACAGACCACAACCTGTTTCTGGCTAGCACTAACTTTCGGCACAGTCATCGCCGATGTGCCACCTGCCATCCTCTTTTTCTTTATCTCAAGCCTGGACTCAGATTGATCACATCGCGATCAGCTACCTCTGGCGTGGTTGTGTACAAGACTGCCGCTCCTTTTGGAGTACCTATCTGGAATCTGATAATGCCCTGGTCTGCGCCAATCTTATCTTACTTTTCAGTGGACAACGAAGTGACCGACACCAAAGGATTGATGTTAGCAAGCTGGCTGCAACTTCTGTTGCTAGTATGTACCGAACCGAGCTAGCTTCTAAGCTAGCTACCATTCCACCGAAAAGTATTGATGAGTATTGGTTGCAATTGCATGACACCATGAAAATGGCGGGTAAAGTCTGTTGTGGGTTCGCGAAACGTCCCGCTTATAAGTACTGGGTTTCTTCAGGCTCCTTACAACTCATTGAAGCCCGTCGGTCTACTCCGGGTGACCGTGAGTTTGACCACAAACTAAAGCTGTTACTTAATGAACTTGGGCAAGGCTTGCGTCAGGACCGAGAAGCCTGGTGGTCGGAGCATGCTAATGAGCTGGAAGCAGCAGCTGCATCTGGTACCTGCCGGAAGCTCTTCCAACTCACCCGAGCCACTGGCAGCAAGAAGTCTGGTGTGAGCGAAACAATCTGCGAGGATGACGGGATGCCAATCACTAAAATCCATCGACGTCTTGGACGATGGGCAGAATCCTTCGAAGGGCAGTTCAACTGGCCTGCTGCTCCTGCAACATCGGTCAGACTGTCCTGCCCTCCATGGCCGGTGTCGACTGATCTACCAAATGAGGTGGAAGTCCGCAAGGAACTCCAACTCTTGAAACTTAAAATCACCGGTCCCAAATAACTTACGTCCGGCTCTTTAAAGATGATGGTGACAAAGGTTTGGGAGCTAGAGAGTGTACCAACATCATGGAATAAGTCGATAGTTGTCCCTATCTTTAAAAAGGGTTCACGTCGTTTCTATAACGACTATCGGAGGATGAGTCTACTTCCAATTGCGTCCAAGCTATTGGCTTTCATCATGCTTCGTAGGTTGTTCAAAACCTGAAATAGATTGACACGCCAGGAGGAGTCTGGGTTTCGTTCTGGTCGAGGATGTATTGATCATGTCTTCACCCTCCGCCAAATGTTAAAACACCATAATACTTGTCACAGGCCAACAATCGTAGTGTTTCTTGACATTACGGCCGCCTTCGATTCGTTGGATAGGACTGTTCTCTGGGATTGTCTATTGAAGAAGGGTGTGCCTGAGAAGTTTATTAACATCTTAAAAGCCCTCTGTACAAACACTTTAGGTAGAGTGAGGGCATACAACCACCTCTCTTCATTGTTCCATTCAAGCAGTGAGGTTAGGCAGGGTTGCCCAATCTCACCATTCCTCTTCAACTTTGCCATCGATGACAGCTCTGATGGATGTAAGTAATGGTGGAGTGGATCTGTTACCTGGAGAAAGACTTCTCGACCTTGAGTATGCGGATGATATTGTCTTACTGTGCGAGAATGCCCAAGCTATGCAATCCGCACTTAATCAGTTGGCAATCAATGTCCGTAGGTATGGTATGTGCTTTGCACCTTCGAAGTGCAAAGTACTTCTACAAGACTGGCAGGATTCTAATCCTGTACTCACTCTGAATGGTGAGCAGACAGAAGTAATCGAGAAGTTCGTGTATCTAGGTCGCTGCATAAGTGCTGTTGGTGGCGTGAGTGATGAGATCAACGCACGTATGGAGAAAGCCAGAGTGGCTTATGCCAATCTGGGCCATCTTTGGCGCTTTCGTGATGTCAGTCTGGCTGTAAAAGGTCGGATCTACAACGCGTCGGTGAGAGCAGTTCTGCTCTATGCTTGTGAAACCTGGCCTCTCCTTTCTGTTTCCCCCATTATTATTATTATTTTATGTCTGGCTTACGATCACGTGACTTATCCACCAATCAGAATACGGCTTATACAAATATTCGCACTATGACAAGACCAATGACGTTCAACCGGTCTGAGCACTCTAGCGTCTTTATTGGGTCCTATGTCCTCCTAACCCGTCCTCTTGAATCCAGGACACAACACCAGCTTCCGTAATATGAATCGAATCATTTATTGCAGACATACTCGGTTTATATATCAATCAGGCAGACCACAACATACCATAAAATAGAAAATAACATGTGTACACAAATAAGCCGAAAAGTGGCTGTGAACGCGGGAGATAGTAATTAATAGACAGACCATAACTCAAGAATAATAAATCGTATAGTAATAATCTATGGGTCAATTTAAAGCTTATAATAAGTGGAATATAAATACACATAATATAATTCTTGAATAATTATACAATAAGAATATTTATAGAATATTAGTCCATTAATAGTCCTCGAAAGTTACCTCTAGTTTAGTCTTCACTGGGATATAACACCTCCCTTTTTTTGAAGCATTAGAGATAATAATGATCCCTAGGGTTTATTTTTATTCGATTAGGTTTCCGCCTGATGCGCTGCGACCTCCTGGGGAGTGTTGTATGCGTCTTGTTATTATTCGGGTCATTCTTAATTTCATTATCCGACTCATTTAATATATTTATTTGTATATTCGACTTTATATCATTTCCTGTCTCCCGCTCTTGTCTGGTCGGCTGTATCTCGATTGCATGTCGCACCCATACCTTTTTTCTAACTTTTACTTCATAGATAACCTTCCCTTTTTTTCGTATTATGATGCCAAACTTCCATGTTGGCTTTACTCCCGTGAAATCTCTTGTTATTACAGCTTGTCCCACCTTAAAGCTTCTGGGCAATGCACCATGCCGCTTGTTGAATTGCTGTTCCATTCGTTTGTTCTTTCGGAGGTTGGCTGTAGGTTTTGGTTTCATTTGCTCTATAGGTATTCTAATCTTTCTCCCAAAGATTGCTTCTGCTGGACTTTCTTGATTATTTGTTGTTGGGTTGGATGTTGCTCTGTAGGTTTGTAGAAATCTTTGGATAATCTCTTCTATTTCCCCTTCTCCCTCGGCTTTAAGCAGTGCTCTTCTAAACGTATCCACAAACCTCTCCACTAGACCATTGGACTGCGGATGGTATGGGGGTGCTTTTATATGCCTAACGGCGTTTGCGACGCAGAACTTCGAGAATTCGGCGGAGGTAAACTGTGGTCCATTATCAGACACCAGTACATCTGGACACCCAAAGCAGCTGAATACTTGTCTCAGTTTTTCGATAGTAGCTTTTGTCGAAAGAGACTTCATGCAGTGGATCTCTGGCCATTTTGAGAAGGCATCAACAATCACCAAGTACTGTTTCCCGTTTATGGGACCTGCGAAATCCACATGTACTCTTGACCACGGATTTTCCAGTGTCCCTCAACTCTGCATTTCTGTCTTGCGAGGGGCTTTGATAGCTTTTGCATACGCGGAACATCTCTCAACATAGTCTTTGATCTGAGCGTCAATATTCGGCCAGTATACATACCCACGTGCAAGTGCCTTCATCCGTGCTACCCCTGGGTGTGCAGCATGCAGTTCTGACATCACCTTACGACGTAAGTTTAAAGGTACAATTACTCGATTTCCAAACATCAAGCACCCGTCCATAAGTGATAGAGAATTTCGACGGTGAGAATACTGTTCAATATTTTTGTTGTCTATATGGGTAGGCCAACCATGATCGAGGTATCCAATAATCTGCTTCAGCTCATCGTCTTCTTGAGTATGGTATTTAATATCTTCAGAGGATAACGGGGTTGCTTTTATAGCAACTTGTAGTATATGATGAATATCATTTTCCAACGATATCGTCGCGATAATAGAATCTTCGCTTTCCTTCTTCTGATTCGCAATTAATCGGGATAAAGCATCAGCTTGTCCAAACTTTTCAGTTGATTTATATAGGATTTAGAAATCATAAGCAAGCAATGTAATAGCCCAGCATTGTAATCGATTCACTGTATATGCAGGAATACCTGACTTCGATCCAAAAAGCCGCTTGTGGTCCGTTAAGAGAGTAGATCGACGACCATAAATCATTTTATGGAATTTCTTTACTGCAAAAACTAACGCTAGTCCTTCCTTCTCAATCTGACTATATTTTCGCTCAGCTGAGTTAAGAGTTCGTTATACATGAGCAATTGGCTTTTCTTTACCATCAGGAAAACGATGGCTGATAACAGCTCCAATTCCATAGTTCGAAGCGGCTACAATTATTTCAAGCTTAAGATTATAATGAGTCAGCAACAGTTTAGAAGATAAAATCCTTTTTATTTCATCGAAAGAATCTTGACATTCCTTTGTCCAGTTCCATGTTGAATTAGCCATCAAGAGTTGATTTAATGGATATCGCAATTTATACATATGGGGTACGAACATACTATAATAACCAATCATCCCCAAAAACGAGCGAAGGGTTGTACCTCAGTCGGTTTGGGCATATTTTTGATAGCATTTATATTGTCTGGATCTGGTCAACGACCATTTTTATCAAGTATATATCCAAGGTACTTAACAGACTCGAGCTGAAATTCGCACTTTTCTTTTTGTAACTGAAAACCGGCTTGTGATATTTTTGTGAGCACCACGTCTAACCGACCCATTAATTCCTGCGCAGGAGAGCCAAAAACTATAATGTCATCCAAGTAAACTGCTACACCTTCGACGTTAGACACCATAGTATCCATTATTTGCTGGAAAATTGCTGGGGCTGGCTTAACACCAAACGGTAATCGGTTAAATCGATAGAGTCCACGGTGGGTATTAATAGTTAATAACTCCTTTGAATATTCGTCAACTCCCACTTGTAAGTAAGCTTCAGATAAATCAAGTTTAGAGATTTAACGTCCACCGTTCAGTTTCATAAATAAATCATCTGGTAAAGGTAATGGGTATGAATGATTTTGTAAAGCGTCACTTAGTCCTGTTGAAAAATCTGCACAGAGGCGAATAGCTCCGTTCGCTTTCTGAACCACTACAATTGGTGATGCCCATGCCGAATAATTGATAGGTTGTATAACACTGAGCTGCTCTAGTCGGCCTAATTCTTTGTCGACTTTGTCAATAGCCGCATATGGGACTTGACGTGTCATGTCCATTTTCTAGCTTTTAATTTTATTAAGTGAATCGCGTGTTTCTATCAATGAACAGTACAACATGTGATGTGTTTTAAAATTATCTTGTATCGTTTCCCATTCTACCTCTTTTGAATAAGTTGCCTTATTTGGTGATATCAATGTAGAATTGATTGATTGGTTGTGTCCAACATTGAATTAACAGGGTTCAATATCATAAAACTATTGTTGTTAAATTGTGTAGGAAATTAGTGGTTCGTTTGGTATTTGTTGACTGAGTGCTAATTATGTATGAATGTTTGCCGTTCACAATAAAGGCAGAATGAACAGTAATTGAACCTGAATTGGTGAGAATGATATGAGTTGTTACTTAATATATTCTAATAATTGGTAGCCTTTTAAATGGGAGCTACATTACTCGTCGGTGTAGTACTACTCAATGAAAGAGACCATAAATGTCAACTAGTGTTCGTCGGTTTATATTTTAACTGTACTGAGTGTGTATTCAGATACTGAATGATGTAAGTAGGTCGTTGTATCAAATGATCGCTGCACTGAGTAGAGTCAGGAAACTGTTCTGATTGTAGTGCAAGGTGAATGTCGACCAAAGTAGAGCATTGTAAGTATTCACTTTTAGATGGAATAGTGTTGACGAATCCAGAGTTTAATAACATTGTATTTACTGCAGGCGTCGAATATGCCGATTCCTATTCAGAGTGACCAATTCTTGACTGGTCATCACGAACAGTACTCATAAATAGATTACATTTGGTTATTTGTCATTAGTATACAGAGTTCTTCTATTTCTGATTTGTACTTCAGGACTCTTTCACCAGACACCAACCATTGTGGGATAGTACACGTGGAAAATCTGGATCGAAATTCCTAGTCACGTATAACCGACAATTTGTGGCTAAGACAATCAGTTCAGAAGAAGTTGAACAAATGCATCAAATGTTAGAAGAATACTATTCTGTAAGTATTTGCTATACTAACTGGAGAGTGGATTATTTGGTTGGTATTTAATCTGATACAACAGTGAAGCACTGGTTTTGGTCGCCGGATGTTACTATGTTGGGATGAGATAGTGCATCCAGTTAAAAGTTGAACAAACTACTGTTAGCGGAATCAATGTTAGAGTGTGTGTTATCATCAGTTTTTATCATCATCATTAGTGATTTGTGATGATCTGTAGAAGTCAATTAACTAGTAGTAAGGCGATAGGAAGTCAGTGTTACGTTATGTGATAGAAACCAATAGTTACTGACTGATTGGTGTTAGTTTTCAACATATTCTCCTACTGTCGACCCACTTAGCATGAGCACGTTCATTTTGGAAGATTTACAAAATTCATTGATCAGTTACTTATTGAGTTGATTAAGTATTATAAACTGTCTGCCAAAGGATTCAACTACGAGATGATCATCCGTTGGATTCTTGCAGAGGGAGATTATTGTGCAATTTTATCTGTGAATGGTTGACCATAAATTTTATTGTCTAGTTACATTTCTGTTATTCCAATGTTTACAGTGTCATGAGATGATCGGATCCTTCCTTGTTCCAGTATTTCCCACCTACGTTGGTGCATTATACTTTTACCATATTTTAATGAATACAGAAGTTGTTGTGAAAGCAAACTTCAGCTGTACACACCTTACACCAGATGTGCAGATAATGAGTATCATAGATAGCTTAGAAACTCTTTGAGCTTATATTAGTTGTGTTGTGTGTGGGAATTGCTAGTGTTGCCAAAGCGAATGTCTATTTATAGTCAACTATTGTTTGTTGATGATGAAGGCAAGTAGTGAAGCATTCGTTTGATTCCTTTGTCTAACTAATTTGATTGTTTCCTTGAAGTAAGTCGGTACAGTGTAGCAAGATGAGGTTTGTAGATGTTTGAAAGACAAATTCGATTAAAGTGTGATTTTTATTTGTCTTGTCAATCGATCTCAGTGATGAATGTTTTAATTAAAAGTGGTTGTCTGTACTTGCAGAAACGAGAGGAAATGTGAGTTGCTGAGAGTGATTTATTGATTTATTTATTTGAAGACATAAATATTGGCACAAAGACGCTTGATTTGTGTGTGGACTGTGATACTGCCTGGGTGCCCAGACCGAAGCAGGTGGTTTTCTTAGGAGAGCACACCCGGAGCCTTTGACCTAAAGGTCTGAACCGCAAGGCAGTGAAGCGACCTAAGGAGATGCAGTCCCGTGGTAGCTGATGACCAACAATAGGTTCACACGTCATTTGTTCAATCAGGATCCTGAATCCCACATGCACCATTGGTTTGGGATCGAGTTAAAGCGCCGGACATTCACTATTCGTCCTCTCATTTTCGTAAACAACACCCCCGCCACGAGAAGGCAGTTAGTAGGACTTCGTTGGTAGTGGTTGTATGCACATGGCCATGTGAGAGCATTTTGAGAGGTATAGCTTACTCTACCTATCCTCGGCCATACCAGGGCATTCGGGGGTTTATGCTTGTACTTATCCTACTTCTACACAATCTACTAATCGTATTGACGTAGGGATCGAATAGGTAACAAGCGTGTCAGTCATTGAGTTGTACACAACGTAAAAGCTGACACACTTGTGCATTGTTTCCAGTCGTCACAGTCGGAGCGAGACATTTTCATATTTACTTCCTGGAACTGTCGGTGTAGTTTAATTTGATGAGTAAAGGCTGTCAGTAAATGTTGCTCGTAATTCATCACAAAACGCTATTGCTATTGAGTTGTACCAAACAGATGGTTCCAGTGTGCATCGAAAAAGACACTTGCTTTTGCAGTAATGTCAGAATGTCTAACAATTAAATGTTGAACTGGTGTTGTTGTTAGTGTGATTCGAATTTTGATTATCGTCTGTTATTGACATGCCGCCTGATTGATTGTCATCTTTTAATGTGTCTCTCTTTCTTGTAGTATATTGTCAAAGGACACGGTCAAACACTGCTTCCTCAATTTCTTGGACTTTATCGACTTACAGTGAATGATCAGGAGTCGTATATATTAGTAATGAGGAATGTGTTCAGCCCAAGACTTGCGATTCACAAGAAATATGATTTGAAGGTAACGATCTGTTGATTATTAGTTAGTTGTGATTGATTTTGTGTGTATGAATTTTTTAAATGTGAATGAGTAAGTTTGACATAGTGAGGATGTATGTATGGCTTTGTGTAGTTTACTCTAATAGGTGCAGAGTTATTTGTCTTTGTGTGCTTTCCGCATTTTCACCTGTAGAATATTCTGTGTTCAAGTCATCATGTGAAACGTTCTGTAAGTATTCATTCGTTCTTCGCTCATGGGTCGACTCAATTGTCGAGTTCCAAGATCAACATTGACAATGCTGTGACAGTTTTAGACAAGGAGCATAAACGTCGTCTACGGATTAAAAAGCATTCGTTTCAAAGTACCACAGGTGTATGTCATGTTATTGTAACTTAACACATGCATCAACCTGCTCACCTTTTGATTTGTTTCCTTTCTAATACCCCGATGGTGTGAAGTGTGTTGTTCTCTTATGCTTAGCTTTCTATTGCTACTCACACTGAACTAACCAAAATCCTTGTGTATGTGTTCGACTGATTGGGTGTGTAACGGAATAGGAAAAGCAGCTTAGTTGTCAGTGTCCTGTAGATTCCGAAGTTATTATTCACATGCACTTGAGATTTTTCAGTGTGTTTGGATTAGTGAATAACGTATCAGTTACTGACTATTAACACTCTTTTTAGTGAGCGTATTTATTTTCCTTGTGATTGTTACACAGGACTACGACGAAGTGTAGATACTTTTAACACTTTATTTTCTATTTGTGCACACTTACAACGTTTCATGAGTGTTTTATGATTCACTTAACGCCAACCAAGTGGTTGTTTGCGTTCGTTGATTTTATTCGGTGAGTATACCAGTCGTACTTAGAAGGGCGAATACATTAGACAACTAACAGACTAACCAATGGACTGACTGACTAGACAATTAATCTAGATAGGTTGTAAATAAGTAAGCAGTTGTTAAGTGGCAAAGCAGCATAAATCCTGTTATGTTTTTGGATCCTTGTTTCATAAATAATTGTGTAATTTTAACTTTGTCACGTAAGTAATTGAGAACTGTGAGTGTTTTTGTGTGCCTGTTGACTTACCACTGGTGATGACGTCTGTTGAGTTAGTGAGTATAATTTCTATATAACGCGATATAAATTTGCGATATTACTGATGAGACAGTGTGTAGTTGGAGGTCGGAGTGTTTTCCGAATCAAGTGTTGATCTCATAGGTGTCAGTTTGAAGATACGTAAATCAATCGAGCGGCAGGTATTTTCTATTATTTGCATACATTCACATGTTGCGATTGATATAGTTTGTGAAACTCAGTCACATGGAATAGGTTGAAATTTGTTTTACTTACTGCTCCAACTAGTATTGTTCATGTAAGTGGTGGTCACATAAACCGTGAGTGTAGACTTCTGTGTATGAGTTGGTGGAACAGTTATCAGTCGATAAAAAACAGGCGTAGAATATAATGATAAAATAATCATGTTTTTGTGATGCTCATTAAACACTAGTCCAATCATGAAATCTTTCAAACTATGTTTGGATTCAATTCTGTTCACTTTCAGTGGGACTTGAAATAAGCAAACAAGTGGAGTGACCATAGGACCTTCAGTATCTCGGGATGTTGCTAATTTATTTATATCCCATATTGAGTTGGTTATTTTTGCCAGTACCATCAGACCACGCATCAGGCTCAGATATCTAGATGACACATTTGTTTTCGTTAAACAAATTCCCCTGAGAAATTTCTTTGAACTGATAAACACGTTCTCAGCAAACATCAAATTTACATTTGAAACGGAAGATGGACATAACGAATTACTGTTCTTAGGCTGTTTCGTTAAAGAAATCCTAATGGAAATCTAAATTTCACTGTATAAATGAAGGTCAAGATGGAGGACAAAGACAATGTAATCAACAGCTTACTATTAAAAACATATTAGAACGAAATTATCCATCTATAAGTGACAGTTTTGATGGAAACCTTCTGATTGAGATCATGAACCGATTGATGTTAGACCACCATTGAAAACCTGGAAGTACTGGACGGCCGTTTCGTCCTATTGTGGGACTCCTCAGCAGTGTGCATCCACGAAAGTTTTTGATTGGCACTGTGGATTCGCCTTATCGCCAAGGTGCGATTGAAGAATTACAAATGATCTTGAAAACATAGAATCGAAGCTTTCTATGAAAAAATCAACAGCCAATACTCCACGAAACTCTTAAATTGGAATGAAAGATGAGACTCCGTTTACATCCAGACAAGATCGTGTTGTGTTGATGTGATGCGTTCTATATTGGAGAGTCTTCTTGTGTGATCTTGACTCTTGTCAAGGAACACCTAAGCCACATGAAAGACCTAATAATCCTGTAGGGATAGAGAACTTGGAAATTATATCGTGAATAGGTTTCTGATTGGCCTTTGCTTGGAGTGTGAGTAAGAAGTTATGTGGTTAGGTTTATAGCACCAAGCAAATCAGACACCCTCAACACTTAAGAAAACATTATTTCCTGCGGTAATTACCATAATACAAATTTACCAACTACTACTCATAAACAAGTTGTCTAAGTATTATTTAATACTTGAAATTCATAAGATACGCATTATCGCATATCGACCTAAAACACTGAAAACAAATGCACAAACACATTGCATGCAAACACAGAAATTGACTGATATCACAGAGACAGAAACATCACAACAGTGAAAAAGATCATGAACACAACGATGATAATGACGAAGAGAAAGAAAATGATGTGAGCTCACCTTCTCCTTTTCGTTGGCTTCACGATCCACAGCTGAGCCCTAATTACGAGGATAAGGATACAGTGTATGGACGATTAACTCAACAAGTTGTTGGGCAACACTAGGCAAAACGACACTCGTTAGATGATGAGTACAGTCCAAAAACAATAGTCGAGATAGGTGAATGATTACCACTACAGAGACAAAAACAGTAGTTAGCACCTACGTCCATGAGAAGTTACATACGAACAAACTTATTACTTGAAAGTTTTCACCAAAAGCAGAATTATCTACACAAGGAAGGTAACCTTGTGAAAATACGATCGATAGGTCTTCATTAAAAACATATCTGTTACCGTTTGCCAGAATATTGAAATAAGCAAACCATATGGAAATATGAAATTTGTCTCAACAATGCGTCCAATTCACCTCTAACCGGTACAACGTGTCTGTATGTTTGTCTCGAAGTCAAACTCACTGTATAACAGTAAAAACTAACATCTGGATAGCATAGTCAACGTAGAACAGGATTTATAACTGAGATCTAATGGTTGAAGGCCAAACAGAAAACCCGTTGCACACAAGTTTAACCAATGTTTAATATCCTCACAACTGTGATCACTTTCCAGAACTTGGTCAGCTAGACTTGCAGCCAAAAAGTGGTTTGAAGTGTCAAGTGTTAAATATTTAAAAACAGCAACACAAAACTTATTCAACCGCATCATAAAGTAATCAAATCCCAGTAAAGCATCCACATGATCTCTACAAGTTAAAGAAGTGGAGTCATGAGGGTAGTAAGAGGAGTAAGTCAGAAGAGAGGTGAATGAAAAAAGCACATTCTACGTCTATGGGTATCAATACCAAGGTTGGACTTGATAGTTTCAAACAAAATGAGCATTGAGTAGAAAGCTGACAATAATGATAACAATACAATAGTTATGTATTTGTGATATCCCAATGAACGGAATTCTGGATTTCCAACGTTTCTTGACTAATTGTAAATCACCTCTTTAAAGTAACAGAATTAAATCAACACAATTTTAAATTGTATAAAGGAAACAAAGCAGAATACTTTTGGTATAATCAAAATCAAGGTAGGTCTGAACGTGTCAATGTCATGTTATTTTTGGTCAAGGTGATTCCGTATGAGACAACACGGTGTTTATTTGTGTGCATGATGGTGGGTATATAAAATATGTAATTTGTCCTATGAAGGAGTAGAGTTAGCATTTCAGCTGTGTGTGTGTGTGGATGGTGTGGGAAATGAATAGAGTTAAATGTGGTTATTTGAAGAAAAATTCCAGGCTGGATGCATGGTCAAGCCGTTTTTCCTATTGAAGGAAGAGGGATTTAGTATCATATGCAATGTTTCAACTAATCTCCACTCTAGAGCTGGAAAAACCTTCCTACATTATCTTGATATTTTTAATATCGATTCGGTGATTTTTAGAAATAACATGTTCTGCTATTCACGATATAATTTCCAAGTTCTCTATCCCTACAGGATTATTAGGTCTTTCATGTGGCTTAGGTGTTCCTTGACAAGAGTCAAGATCACACAAGAAGACTCTCCAATATAGAACGCATCACATCAACACAACACGATCTTGTCTGGATGTAAACGGAGTCTCATCTTTCATTCCAATTTAAGAGTTTCGTGGAGTATTGGCTGTTGATTTTTTCATAGAAAGCTTCGATTCTATGTTTTCAAGATCATTTGTAATTCTTCAATCGCACCTTGGCGATAAGGCGAATCCACAGTGCCAATCAAAAACTTTCGTGGATGCACACTGCTGAGGAGTCCCACAATAGGACGAAACGGCCGTCCAGTACTTCCAGGTTTTCAATGGTGGTCTAACATCAATCGGTTCATGATCTCAATCAGAAGGTTTCCATCAAAACTGTCACTTATAGATGGATAATTTCGTTCTAATATGTTTTTAATAGTAAGCTGTTGATTACATTGTCTTTGTCCTCCATCTTGACCTTCATTTATACAGTGAAATTTAGATTTCCATTAGGATTTCTTTAACGAAACAGCCTAAGAACAGTAATTCGTTATGTCCATCTTCCGTTTCAAATGTAAATTTGATGTTTGCTGAGAACGTGTTTATCAGTTCAAAGAAATTTCTCAGGGGAATTTGTTTAACGAAAACAAATGTGTCATCTAGATATCTGAGCCTGATGCGTGGTCTGATGGTACTGGCAAAAATAACCAACTCAATATGGGATATAAATAAATTAGCAACATCCCGAGATACTGAAGGTCCTATGGTCACTCCACTTGTTTGCTTATTTCAAGTCCCACTGAAAGTGAACAGAATTGAATCCAAACATAGTTTGAAAGATTTCATGATTGGACTAGTGTTTAATGAGCATCACAAAAACATGATTATTTTATCATTATATTCTACGTCTGTTTTTTATCGACTGATAACTGTTCCACCAACTCATACACAGAAGTCTACACTCACGGTTTATGTGACCACCACTTACATGAACAATACTAGTTGGAGCAGTAAGTAAAACAAATTTCAACCTATTCCATGTGACTGAGTTTCACAAACTATATCAATCGCAACATGTGAATGTATGCAAATAATAGAAAATACCTGCCGCTCGATTGATTTACGTATCTTCAAACTGACACCTATGAGATCAACACTTGATTCGGAAAACACTCCGACCTCCAACTACACACTGTCTCATCAGTAATATCGCAAATTTATATCGCGTTATATAGAAATTATACTCACTAACTCAACAGACGTCATCACCAGTGGTAAGTCAACAGGCACACAAAAACACTCACAGTTCTCAATTACTTACGTGACAAAGTTAAAATTACACAATTATTTATGAAACAAGGATCCAAAAAACATAACAGGATTTATGCTGCTTTGCCACTTAACAACTGCTTACTTATTTACAACCTATCTAGATTAATTGTCTAGTCAGTCAGTCCATTGGTTAGTCTGTTAGTTGTCTAATGTATTCGCCCTTCTAAGTACGACTGGTATACTCACCGAATAAAATCAACGAACGCAAACAACCACTTGGTTGGCGTTAAGTGAATCATAAAACACTCATGAAACGTTGTAAGTGTGCACAAATAGAAAATAAAGTGTTAAAAGTATCTACACTTCGTCGTAGTCCTGTGTAACAATCACAAGGAAAATAAATACGCTCACTAAAAAGAGTGTTAATAGTCAGTAACTGATACGTTATTCACTAATCCAAACACACTGAAAAATCTCAAGTGCATGTGAATAATAACTTCGGAATCTACAGGACACTGACAACTAAGCTGCTTTTCCTATTCCGTTACACACCCAATCAGTCGAACACATACACAAGGATTTTGGTTAGTTCAGTGTGAGTAGCAATAGAAAGCTAAGCATAAGAGAACAACACACTTCACACCATCAGGGTATTAGAAAGGAAACAAATCAAACGGTGAGCAGGTTGATGCATGTGTTAAGTTACAATAACATGACATACACCTGTGGTACTTTGAAACGAATGCTTTTTAATCCGTAGACGACGTTTATGCTCCTTGTCTAAAACTGTCACAGCATTGTCAATGTTGATCTTGGAACTCGACAATTGAGTCGACCCATGAGCGAAGAACGAATGAATACTTACAGAACGTTTCACATGATGACTTGAACACAGAATATTCTACAGGTGAAAATGTGGAAAGCACACAAAGACAAATAACTCTGCACCTATTAGAGTAAACTACACAAAGCCATACATACATCCTCACTATGTCAAACTTACTCATTCACATTTAAAAAATTCATACACACAAAATCAATCACAACTAACTAATAATCAACAGATCGTTACCTTCAAATCATATTTCTTGTGAATCGCAAGTCTTGGGCTGAACACATTCCTCATTACTAATATATACGACTCCTGATCATTCACTGTAAGTCGATAAAGTCCAAGAAATTGAGGAAGCAGTGTTTGACCGTGTCCTTTGACAATATACTACAAGAAAGAGAGACACATTAAAAGATGACAATCAATCAGGCGGCATGTCAATAACAGACGATAATCAAAATTCGAATCACACTAACAACAACACCAGTTCAACATTTAATTGTTAGACATTCTGACATTACTGCAAAAACAAGTGTCTTTTTCGATGCACACTGGAACCATCTGTTTGGTACAACTCAATAGCAATAGCGTTTTGTGATGAATTACGAGCAACATTTACTGACAGCCTTTACTCATCAAATTAAACTACACCGACAGTTCCAGGAAGTAAATATGAAAATGTCTCGCTCCGACTGTGACGACTGGAACCAATGCACAAGTGTGTCAGCTTTTACGTTGTGTACAACTCAATGACTGACACGCTTGTTACCTATTCGATCCCTACGTCAATACGATTAGTAGATTGTGTAGAAGTAGGATAAGTACAAGCATAAACCCCCGAATGCCCTGGTATGGCCGAGGATAGGTAGAGTAAGCTATACCTCTCAAAATGCTCTCACATGGCCATGTGCATACAACCACTACCAACGAAGTCCTACTAACTGCCTTCTCGTGGCGGGGGTGTTGTTTACGAAAATGAGAGGACGAATAGTGAATGTCCGGCGCTTTAACTCGATCCCAAACCAATGGTGCATGTGGGATTCAGGATCCTGATTGAACAAATGACGTGTGAACCTATTGTTGGTCATCAGCTACCACGGGACTGCATCTCCTTAGGTCGCTTCACTGCCTTGCGGTTCAGACCTTTAGGTCAAAGGCTCCGGGTGTGCTCTCCTAAGAAAACCACCTGCTTCGGTCTGGGCACCCAGGCAGTATCACAGTCCACACACAAATCAAGCGTCTTTGTGCCAATATTTATGTCTTCAAATAAATAAATCAATAAATCACTCTCAGCAACTCACATTTCCTCTCGTTTCTGCAAGTACAGACAACCACTTTTAATTAAAACATTCATCACTGAGATCGATTGACAAGACAAATAAAAATCACACTTTAATCGAATTTGTCTTTCAAACATCTACAAACCTCATCTTGCTACACTGTACCGACTTACTTCAAGGAAACAATCAAATTAGTTAGACAAAGGAATCAAACGAATGCTTCACTACTTGCCTTCATCATCAACAAACAATAGTTGACTATAAATAGACATTCGCTTTGGCAACACTAGCAATTCCCACACACAACACAACTAATATAAGCTCAAAGAGTTTCTAAGCTATCTATGATACTCATTATCTGCACATCTGGTGTAAGGTGTGTACAGCTGAAGTTTGCTTTCACAACAACTTCTGTATTCATTAAAATATGGTAAAAGTATAATGCACCAACGTAGGTGGGAAATACTGGAACAAGGAAGGATCCGATCATCTCATGACACTGTAAACATTGGAATAACAGAAATGTAACTAGACAATAAAATTTATGGTCAACCATTCACAGATAAAATTGCACAATAATCTCCCTCTGCAAGAATCCAACGGATGATCATCTCGTAGTTGAATCCTTTGGCAGACAGTTTATAATACTTAATCAACTCAATAAGTAACTGATCAATGAATTTTGTAAATCTTCCAAAATGAACGTGCTCATGCTAAGTGGGTCGACAGTAGGAGAATATGTTGAAAACTAACACCAATCAGTCAGTAACTATTGGTTTCTATCACATAACGTAACACTGACTTCCTATCGCCTAACGACTAGTTAATTGACTTCTACAGATCATCACAAATCACTAATGATGATGATAAAAACTGATGATAACACACACTCTAACATTGATTCCGCTAACAGTAGTTTGTTCAACTTTTAACTGGATGCACTATCTCATCCCAACATAGTAACATCCGGCGACCAAAACCAGTGCTTCACTATTGTATCAGATTAAATACCAACCAAATAATCCACTCTCCAGTTAGTATAGCAAATACTTACAGAATAGTATTCTTCTAACATTTGATGCATTTGTTCAACTTCTTCTGAACTGATTGTCTTAGCCACAAATTGTCGGTTATACGTGACTAGGAATTTCGATCCAGATTTTCCACGTGTACTATCCCACAATGGTTGGTGTCTGGTGAAAGAGTCCTGAAGTACAAATCAGAAATAGAAGAACTCTGTATACTAATGACAAATAACCAAATGTAATCTATTTATGAGTACTGTTCGTGATGACCAGTCAAGAATTGGTCACTCTGAATAGGAATCGGCATATTCGACGCCTGCAGTAAATACAATGTTATTAAACTCTGGATTCGTCAACACTATTCCATCTAAAAGTGAATACTTACAATGCTCTACTTTGGTCGACATTCACCTTGCACTACAATCAGAACAGTTTCCTGACTCTACTCAGTGCAGCGATCATTTGATACAACGACCTACTTACATCATTCAGTATCTGAATACACACTCAGTACAGTTAAAATATAAACCGACGAACACTAGTTGACATTTATGGTCTCTTTCATTGAGTAGTACTACACCGACGAGTAATGTAGCTCCCATTTAAAAGGCTACCAATTATTAGAATATATTAAGTAACAACTCATATCATTCTCACCAATTCAAGTTCAATTACTGTTCATTCTGCCTTTATTGTGAACGGCAAACATTCATACATAATTAGCACTCAGTCAACAAATACCAAACGAACCACTAATTTCCTACACAATTTAACAACAATAGTTTTATGATATTGAACCCTGTTAATTCAATGTTGGACACAACCAATCAATCAATTCTACATTGATATCACCAAATAAGGCAACTTATTCAAAAGAGGTAGAATGGGAAACGATACAAGATAATTTTAAAACACATCACATGTTGTACTGTTCATTGATAGAAACACGCGATTCACTTAATAAAATTAAAAGCTAGAAAATGGACATGACATTTGAAAACATGTGAACAATATTAAGCACTGACAACTACATATTTGCAGCCATATTATTGGAGAAAGGATAATACGGCAACTGTTTAATAGCTGCAAGCATTGCCTCCGTAGATCATCATAAATCCATTTCGATCACAAACACTCATCCACACACTCACACAACTAACAGTGTAACTCAGGGACGTGTTCTCAAAATCGAGTGCAGTTCATTGTCTGAGTGATCCAAATACTGAATGGCTATGTAAACTAGAGTACATGGTGTGATCTGAATTTACAACTCAGGAGTTGGACTCTCTAATTATCTTAGCATTACCACAAATCCACTGTCACATAGGCATATTTACAGAGAAATGACTGGCGATAGGATATAACTTAAAAAAGTCAGAAATTAAAAAATGAATTCAATAAGGTGAGAATGGCAGTGTTTGAAGACCTTTCACGTGCAAGATTTATTACAGACTACCAATCAAAGTTGTCGACCAAACCCATCACAAACAAAATCTAATTTCATAACAATTAAATACTAGACAAAGCTCAATGTGTTCAAGTTATGAATCTCTAACACCATTCACAGGTAAAAAGGAGATATTACCATCAACACATAAATCAGCTCAGAACCACCTACCCAATAATCCATCTTGTCAACTCCAAATCGATCTCGTAATGACTTGAACACCATTGGGCAGTACTCTTTAAACTTGAATCTACTAGGCATATTCTCCCTAGAATCACATTCGTCAGCATAAGTCCACCATGAACACAGAAAAACTTACTTGTTGAAATAGTGGTTATTAACCTTCACTTTCATATATGCTTTGAAATCGTCTTTCAATAACAGTGCACGTTGCTTAACATGATTTAAAGCGGAAAACGAATAATTTATGCCCCACATCAGTACACTTTTTAACGGTTCATTGGCTCGAAAAAGTTTCAACTTCTGTTTCATGATCCTCACTTTCTTGTGTTTAGACACGGTGGCCATTATTCAGAGATGACAAACGTTTGGAATAACAACTTAATGATATAAACAGATTCTAGAAAGTTGAGGAAAGAGAGTGGGTTAAAAATCACATACATAAGCTATCCACCTAGAACTTGAATGTTAAATACATAAATTGATTAACAATAAGCTGCATGTCTATTAAGGATACCCACCTAATGTTCTCTCTTTTGTCTTTGTAGTAGATTTGGCCTATTTTCACTTATTCTGATTATCTTCGGATGAAGTCGGAATTTCTGCATCAATATTTTAAATTCACGGCTAAATTATTTGGGTAAATCTATTGACTTGAATAAACCTCAGTTTAGAGGATAACGTAAGATGAACCGGTCCAGAGTGTACAAACATATGACATCCCTGTTAATTTAAGTCTTTCACATACCATCACTGAACCTTATCGTAGGTTAGTTATTTAGCTAATTACTTGCTGGTTTCGAGACATCATGGACTACTAATAATCAATTTAAAACATCGGGTGAGAACCGCTGTGGTTGAGTGATCATACCACCACTGTTCGTAGCTTATCTGGCCTAAATTTAATGCTTCAGAACTCCAATGTTAATGCTACTTAGACCTCTCAATACATAAGTTCTGGTTATTTCGTACTTTGAACGATAACTCAAATGGATCTAGGCTATTATATTAGAAAAAACTAGTTTGGAAAAACACCATTTACAGTATATTTTCTAGACGGTACTTTTGCAGCACTTTACACTTATTTTCGTTGTCGAAAATTGTTCTGATTACTAGGAGGACCGACACATCGCACAGCTTGATATCAAAAGGTGAAGATGTAGTTGAAATAAGAATCTAAGTATCCTAATTGAGATAGTAGATAAATCGTTCGAAACAACTCTACCACACAACTTTCTCAACTAACTACTAACATATGGTGGCTGCAGAGAAATACAAAAACATCAGGTAAGTTCAGGATGCAGGATGTATGTAATAATGTCACAAGACTGCTGTAACTACTACAAAACCTGCGACTGAAAACTTTGCTCATCTTTGATGCTAATGAATGAGGTTCAAAACTTTCATGGCGTTAATGATCAGAAGATTGGTAGCACTGATTTGTTAAATCAGGAAGATTAAAGTGGGAAAATGTGAAATTAACCCCTATCACCACATAACCAATGTTAAAATTTAAATATGTAAAAAAGCACGGCTCTAAAATTGAACGCATTTCTACTAATGCAAACAAGGAAGCTCCATGTATTAGATTAGGTACACCAGATGCTGCATTTATGTAATCCTCATACGGACCATCTTATTTTCCAACGGAATACCCCCTTTATTTCTTGACGCTGTAAAAGAATAAAAAATTCTCCAAAATCTTATAGTTTTCAGGTGTAGCTTCATACAAATAGCTGTCAAATGAAACATGTTAACGCCTACAACTTTGTATCAACTTTTCAAGGTCAAAGTTTCCTTTTAAATTCAGGCCTTAAAGTCCAATGATGCTTGTCCGTAATCTGCAGAATCTTATAACGATGGTCACATGAAGTTTATTATTTGTGATAAATAGGTTCAATAAATTCTAAAACAACAGAGACAACTAACCTACTTCGGTACCAGAACAGTCTGACCTTGATTTTTAAAAACTTCGTACAACATGCAAAAATTTCACTCTTCAATGGTTGAAAGATAAGAGCATGCCCTTCAGGCTATCAGTATGGAGTTTCAATGAGAATGGTTAGTCTAAAATTTCAACGAATTTTATGAGTCTATTAACTTATATCTGGGTATGCGAAAACAGTCTAAAGTTTTGGTTGAGATCATGAATTGATCAATGTTAGGCCACCATTGAAAATCTGGAAGCACTGAAAAGCCTTCTAATCCTGATATGGGACTCTTCGTCAATGCGCATCCACGATTTCATACACGAATTTCGAATAACATAGTACCTTCGGTCTCGCGCATGAGGTGTTATCGATCTGACTTAAAACGAATTTTCGAATGAAATATCATAAATCGGTAAATATACGTTTTTTCATGGTAATCTTGATAAATTCAACCGTATATAATCATAATACCATCGAATTTCCAAACTGGTGAGCATGGTATTGAGATTTAGTGAAATTGTTGGTGGCAGCATAAATACTAATAAATTGTAATGGGAATTCTCATTCTCCTTTCATCTGATAAAATCAATCGATTCTCCCAGTAGCTTTCAAAACAGCAGGCGCTTTCTCGTGACCGAAATTCATCAGCTTAAAGATTGTGCATCACCTTATAACAATATAACTGATACCGTGTAATATATCTAAGTAAGGAAAATTTCGAAGATCGCTTAATAATAGTATTGTGTTGAAGATCATGAACGTCTGGATATCTAAATAATTGTTTCAGTTTGAGAAAAACAGAAACCTAAGCAGCCTCTGTTAGTGCTGGCAATGATTATTTTTCAGTTTATCGAGCATTTTTTGAGTGTCTTAACAATTACATGATAGAATAGTTTGGCCGTAAAACACAAGTACCGTATATGTCCTAATGACCACAATATTTATCAATGCCCATTTTGTTGGCTCCAGTAGTGAGAGATCGTGAATTACAGGCTCAGGTCAAGGTTAGTTACATCGTCTGACTTTGATAAGTATATGAAGACAATGAACGGAGGTTGAGAAGGCCTTATGATATTGACAAGTGTACAAATAGATATAATCTGTTATATAGTAGTCAACAGGCCAACAGCTCAAAGGAAAAATCTGATACGAAGATTCACTGCAGATTCACCAGATCTCAACGCAATCATGTGTGCTTGAAAGTGCTCTACATACGGTCAAGTTTGAGAGGCTCGGAAGTTGTTGGTTATATCCTTCGCGGTAGGGGATCTGAAAAGCATTAATAAGTTCAAAGTGCCTAGCATCGCCTGGATTGAATAGAGATCAATTATCAGCAGTGATAAAAACGGTGGGTGGTGACAAAAGAGCATAATCCATAAGTGAGTTTTATAAGATGTTTTCATAAAACCAAACTTAACATGTTAAATTTGAAGAGTCTTTGATTGAAAAAGAAGACAAGAACATAAGCTCGCGAAATCTACTACGAATAATATAAGGAAGGGAATGCACTAACATGACGTACCCTTGAACAGCCTACGCCCTGTAATTTTTATTTGAATTGGCTGTGATATATAGAAAAAACAATGAAGGTTCAGTCAGTGGTTAGCTGGATGGAAACACCCAAACTCCATAAAAGCATCACTGGGATAAACTGTTTTAGAGTCCACGTCATATACGGAATTTGGAAAGTGAGTTGTTAGTCAAACGTGTAAAGTATAGTTTCTTAAACACAAAATACCTAGGCTTGAATCCATGTAGTTTACCAGTGTGCATTCAAAGATACGTCGACGTCATTAGACTATATGTCTGTCATATGGGGAGTGGAGCAGAGAACGTATTTTGGTCGTTGTGTCGTTTACATATCACAGATCAAGAATGTAGATACGAAGGCAAGAAATTTTCTGAAGTTAAACTTCAGTCAAAATATCGTCCTTGATGGTGTTTACCTTATAGTGACCTGCTTTTGTCAACGGAACGCGATTGCTTCGATGAAAACAATTATTATTATAACCAATAGTACTAGTGATTGTTTTACTGTGTTCGTTTGTTTAACTATGCTAATAACAGCCATATTGGTCTTCCATTGAAATCCATTGCTTCTGAGCGCTTTCTGACTCTCTACGCACGTCCTTCTTCCTGCCGAGTCTGATTGTACCGTTTTGGCACGATCTTGGTATTCGTTCAATACCACGAGATCGCCAACAAATAAACCTGGTTGCGATCTACAATCGCTTTCTGATTTACTTGGTACGCACTCGATTTGTAGTGGTGCTCATAGTCAAGCTCAACTCAACACCACGCTACAATTTGTGAACCCAATCTGGTAACACGCATCAACCTCTGGTCAAATCTTCCAAAGAAGTCAATCTGGTGAGTCTATTGTTTATCTATCCACGTCTGTCGTATATTTTCATATTAATTTTTAATATATAATGTACACGACATGACGGATAGCGATAAAAGCAGCATTAATATTTTAAACTCAGATGTACAGGCTATCTATTTTCGACCTGTACTATTTATTCCCCATGATCCAGAGGTTTGGTTCTCTACAATAGAGTCTCAATTCGAGACTCGCCGTATTTCGGGCCAAAAGTACTCTTTTGATCTTGAATCATTACCCGGGGATCATATAGTAGCTGTACGTGAGGTGGTCCTTAATTCAAATGCCCCCAACGACTACGATCGCCTCAAAGTGGCTATTCTTCGATACTTCCTCCCATCGAGGGAGGAACGATTAAGGACATTGTTAGCACGTCACCCTCTGGGTGATGCTAAACCGAGCCACCACCTCACGCGCCTGCAATTTCTTGTAGGACCTACAGCTGCCGACTCAGAAATAGCTAAAGAGCTATGGTTCTAGTCTTTACCAGCACATATCCAACCAACCATCACGGCCCTGCTCGAGGACTCACCACTTAAATAGGTGTGCACCATTCAAACTGGCTGCCTTCAACGTTCGCATACTTATGCAGGTCGGACAACAGATAGGGCTGGCTATGTCTTGGAAAGTCTTAATATTGATGTGTGTTGTCTATTCGAGACCCGTATTCAAGACTCTGGTGAAGTAGTACAAGTTCGCTCTCCATCTGTCGCTTCAAAAAGCTTGTTTTATGTGCGTTTATCCGGGGACCCTGTGGCATCTCCGTCTGGTTTTGCTGGCGTTGGTTTCGCACCAAGCGCTAGAGCTGAGGCAGCACTAAGGGACTGACTACGTCGTTTACAAAGATCTGGGAACTAGAGAGTGTACCAACGTCATGGAATGAGTCGATAGTTGTCCCTATCTTTAAAAAGGGTTCACGTTGTTCCTGTAACAACTATCGGGGGATAAGTCTACTTCCGATTGCGTCCAAGCTATTGGCTTCCGTCATACTTCGTAGGTTGTTCAGAACCCGAGAAGGATTGACTCGCGAGGAGCAGGCTGGATTTCGTTCTGGTCGAGGATATATTGATCATATCTTCATCCTACGCCAAGTGTTAGAACACCGCCATACTTATCAAAGGCCAACAATCGTAGTGTTTCTTGATATCAGGGCTGCCTTCGATTCGTTGGACAGAACTGTTCTCTGGGATTGTCTATTGAAGAAGGGTGTGCCTGAGAAGTTTATTAACATCCTAAAAGCCCTCTGTACAAACACTTCAGGTAGAGTGAGGGCATACAACCACCTCTCTCCGCTGTTCCATTCAAGCAGTGAGGTTGGGCAGGGTTGCCCAATCTCACCATTCCTCTTCAACTTTGCCATCGATGACATTCTGGAAACAGCTCTGACGGATGTAAGTAATGGTGGTGTGGATCTGTTACCTGGAGAAAGACTTCTCGACCTTGAGTATGCGGATGATATTGTCTTACTGTGCGAGAATGCCCAAGCTATGCAATCCGCACATAATCAGTTGGCAATCAATGTCCGTAGGTATGGTATGTGCTTTGCACCTTCGAAGTGCAAAGTACTTCTACAAGACTGGCAGGATTCTAATCCTGTACTCACTCTGAATGGTGAGCAGATTGATGTAGTCGAGAAGTTCGTGTATTTAGGTCGCTGCATAAGTGCTGGTGGTGGCGTGAGTGATGAGATCAATGCACGTATGGAGAAAGCCAGAGTGGCTCATGACAATCTGGGCCATCTTTGGCGCCTTCATGATGTTAGTCTGACTGTAAAAGGTCGGATCTACAACGCGTCGGTGAGAGCAGTTTTGCTCTATGCTTGTGAAACCTGGCCTCTCCGAGTTGAGGATGTTAGACGACTCTCTGTGTTCGATCATCGTTGTCTCCGAAGGATTGCTGACATCCAGTGGCAACACCATGTCAGTAATGCAGAGGTTCGGCATCGTGTGTTCGGGCGCGGAAACGACAATCCAATTGGTGTCACCATCTTGAAACACCGACTTCGGTGGCTTGGACATGTTCTACGAATGTCGTCCCAGAGAATTCCACGTCGTGCATCATTTGCCGACTCTGGGACTGGTTGGAAAAAGCGGAGAGGTGGTCAGTATATGACATGGTGTCGTAGTATGAAAGAAAGCTGCAAAGGGCTGGCTTCTGTTGATCCTTCACTACTCCCTGGCTGGGGTCCTAGAGATGGTGTAACACAGTGGCTAGAGACGTTATCAGATATGGCTGAGAATAGAAGCCAGTGGCGACCCTGCTGTAACCTTCTTTTACTTTCTCCAAAAAAGTGGTTGTATCTTCCTTAACTGTAAGATTTCTTCTGATTGTACCTTTCCGTTTCCCCCACCATTGTTCTCTCTCTCTTTTTTTTTATAATTCCCCACGTTCATTACTTTTTTTTCTTTTTTTCTCTTTTCTGCTTCTCTTCAAATTCTCGTTGTTTTGTGTGGCGCATATATATTTGGTG